CAGACTATGCATACAAGGTGTATAAAGGAATTTTGTGTTTGGACTGGGATCCTATCTCCAATTTATCTCATTATGTATATGTTATCTTGTTGTGTATAGTATTCAAAAACAAATCCAAAACATAGAATACTTCTGGTCCCAAGCATTTCAGATTAGAGATGCTCAACCTATAATTTCTATTTTTATTATGGTCCCCTTCAGATTTTATTAATTTGTTACATGTCACTAATATTGTGGATGGTGAAATAGAAATAGAGAGTACATAGTCTAATGGCCAAATTGAATGAAGTTTTAATGGATTTATGACTGGGTTCTGAAACCACCTTTCCACACCATCTAAAACAATTGTCCAGAGATAATGAATCACAGCATTTCATGGACAAAGAAATGTTCTGTGCAAACTCAGCATTTAATTTTTTTTGCAGTGATTGTCGTAGAATGTAGTTCCAAGCTTAGACTTCTAAGGAAGGAATCTAGACACCCCTGTAATTATTAGACCATTGAGTAATAGCATACTTTACCATAAATGGGCATTCCTTAGTACTAAAAAAACAGTCAAATTCTTAAGTAAACAGCTATTCATCCAGACAAAGCAATATGAAGGAGACAAAACAAGTAATGCCACATCCCACTCTGTTGACTATGTAGTATCTTTTCACAATTCACTTAAATATGAACTGGTTTTTCATTTCTTGGTACAGAGAAGAGGATTTCCAACACAAATCATACAAAGGCACTTCCAGGCTTTAAAGAAATAACTAGGAAATATGTATATTCAGTTCTGGGTGCAGTGAGTTAGTCTGAATCACCAGGAACTCACTATCTTGTAATTCCTGTGCTAAAACGGGCATTTTAATCATTGGGGGGTGGGGGGGGGGAGAATGATAAATTAGAAAACTCAAGATATAACAGAAAACAAGATTTGCAAACATTTAAAGAATACAGTTTTTGCTGGTGTTCTTCTTTTACTGTTTTTTTTTTTAAAAAAAAACTTGCATGAAGAAAGCAAACATGCACAAAGAAATGTGCACAGGTTCCCCATGCCTCTTCCCTACTAACACCTAAAAAGTACATTTCAGCTCCATTAAACTCTAAAAGGGTTTTATGGGACACTTCATTGGGAGTTGGGCACCACCCATATTGTACACAGAGCTTGGAGTCAGGAATGTATGCACATTCCTGCATTAATGCCACTTCGGCCAGCTAGCCCTCTTTCCTTCCTTTCTCCCTTCTTTCTTTCTTTCTCTTTCTTTTGCAGAGCAGCATAAGAACTTAACAGATATCCAGCTCTGTTCAATGCCCTGAAAGTTTGTTCCAAGTAGGGAGTACGGAGCAATTTCAGGATGCAACTGTCATTGAATAAAACTGACAGCTGATAATTACAGCTGTAGAAACAATACCTTTAGGGCACTTATCAACAAACAAAAGTGCTCAATGTGTTATTGAAGGCTTTCATGGCTGGAATCACTGAGTTGTGAATTTTCTGGGCTGTATGGCCATGTTCCAGAAGCATTCTCTCCTGATGTTTTGCCCACAGCTGTGGACAAGTCTACATAGGGACCACCAAACACAGCATTGCCCAGACACGAATAAAGGGATATGAAAGACACTGCAGACTACGTCAACCAGAAAAATCAGTCATAGCAGAGCACCTGATGAACCAACATGGGCACAACATATTATCTGAGAACACAGAAAAGCTGTCCACTCTTGACAACCACCATGTCAGACTACACAGAGAAGCCACTGAAATCCACAAGCATGTGGACAATTTCAACAGAAAGGAAGAAAGCATGGAAATGAACAAAATCTGGGTAAACTTATTTAAAAACTCTAAAATCAGGATAGAAAAAAACAATACTCAGAAAACAGGGGAATTCCAGATAGGAAACAATCAGGACCGGCTAACACCTCCGAAGAAAGAATCCTCACAGGCAGGAAGCAGACAGGCTTTGAAGGTGCAAGGCCATTAAATGCTATAAAAGGTGGCCACATTCACACTTGCATCAAAAAGACAAGAGTTCTTTCTCCCACCCTGGACATTCCACAGATATATAAACCCCACTTGCTTAGTTTCCAACAGACCTCACAACCTATGAGGATGCCTGCCATAGATGTGGGTGAAACATCAGGAGAGAATGTTTCTTGAACATGGCTATACAGCCCAAAAAACTCACAGCAAGCCAGACAGAAGAGCTCCTACTCTTATGCAAACTTTGCCCAACCAACCTAATTAGAGCCAAATAATTAAGGCCAAAAATATTTCATCCAATTGTTTCAATCTACATGGAAAATCAGTACTACCAATGTGCCATGCTATATGTCCCATTATGTTTCTATAATATTGTAATCACAAATGGATTACTGTATGCAGTCATAGCTGCTCTGTTTCAGGATAAGACAACGGAATCATGCCTCTGGATGGAAACTGTCTTTTGTTGGACAGAAAGCTTGGAAAGTACTGTGAACTGTTAAGAACCATTTTTTAAAAATCCATTCTCAGAATCCTCCAGCCAATATGACAATGCTTACTGGATACTGGGATTTGTGGTAAAAAGTGATTTTTGCAAGCTCTGGCTTGAGTTCTTTCAGCAACACCGATCTCTACCATAGATTTCTAAATTTCCATTATTGAAAAGGGGGTTGGACTAAAGGTAATAGAAAACTCTTGCTCAGGCCCCTTCCACACAGCTGAATAAAATCCCACATTTTCTGCTTTGAACTGGAATATATGGCAGTGCGGACGCAGATCACTCAGTTTAAAACAGATATTGTGGGATTTTATGCCTTGATATTCCGTGCTATATGGCTGTGCTGAAGCAACCTCTGTGCTTCTTGCACATATCATAGTTTATGACAGCGTTTCTCAACCTGGGGATCGGGACCCCTGGAGGAAGGTCACCAGGGGAAAACACAGTATTTTCTATTGGTCATGGGGGTTCTCTGTGGGAAATTTGGCCCAATTCTATAGTTGGCAGAGTTCAGAATGCTCTTTGATTATAAATGAACTATAAATCCCAGCAACGATTACTCCCAAATGTCAAGATCTATTTTCCCCGAACTCCACCAGTGTTCACATTTGGGCATATTGAGTATTCATGCCAAGTTTGGTCCAGATCCATCTTAATTTGTGTCCACAGTGCTCTCTGGATGTAGGTGAACTACAACTCTAAAACTCAAGGTCAATGCCCTACAAAACCTTCGAGTATTTTCTGTTGGTCATGGGAGTTATGTGTGCCAAGTTTGTTTCCATTTTGTCATTGGTGGAATTCAGAATGTTCTTTGGTTGAAGGTGAACTATAAATCCCAGCAAATAAAACTCCCAAATTACAAAATCAATCCACCCTCCAATCCCACCAGTATTCAAATTTGGCCACATCAGATATCTGTGCAAAATTTGGTCCAGTGAATGAAAATATATCCTGCATATCAGATATTTACATTAAAATTCATAACAGTAGCAAAATTACAATTATGAAATAGCAATGAAAATAATTTTTATAGTTGGGGGTCACCACAACATGAGAAACTGTATTAAGTGGTTGCAGCATTCGGAAGGTTGAGAACCACTGGTTTATGAGAAGGCCGGAAGTCAGGCCCTTAAAGTTTATCAGCCTAAAACAAACACACCCATATTGCTCTGACTCACCCTTCCGACAACGTAGTTCCTGAATTAACCAGAAGCGTGCGGATCAAATGTATTGGCTGCAGCTCTCATTCAAAAAAGGAGCGGCACTCACACTTTGAAGATGTTTGAGTCAGAAGCAGTTTTCTGACTGAAGAGTCCCACATTAGAACTCTCATGTTTCATATTGAGTTGAGACACTTCCAGTGACACAAATAAGAGAAGTCACATCACACAACCCATAAGAAAACAATGCCATGCACACCTAGATTCCAAGCATGCTTCTTTTGGAAGCCAGGACATCTGCACTCAAAAGGTTTTGCTTACTTCTATATATCTGAAACCCAACATGGAAATTGTAGTCTTACATACAATTTGATCACCAACTCCCAGAATTCCTGACAGATGGCTATGTTGGCTTGGGCTTCTGGGAGCTGAAGTCCAAAAACCTGGCGAATCAAGGCTTGGGAACTCCTGCTCTAGAGCAGGTATGGGCAAACTTGGGCCCTCCAGGTGTTTTGGACTTCATCTCCCACCATTCCTAACAGCCTCAGGCTGCTTAAGTGGCTGAGGGGGAAAAGGAAAGGGCCTGAGGCTGTTAGAAATGGTGGGAGCTAAAGTCCAAAACACCTGGAGGGCCCAAGTTTGCCCATGCCTACTGTAGATGCATCCCATACAACACATAAATTGCTGTGACCAACCAGGGCTGCTTCCCAAACAGTGAGTGCATCTACACTGTTGAATTAATACAGTCTGACACCACTTTGGAATCCTGGAAGATGTAGTTTTACAAGGTCTTTACTCTTCTGGTGCCTCACCAAGCTACAAATCCCAGGGTGACATTGCACTGAGCCCTGGCAGTCAAAGTGGTGTCAAACTGCATTCATTCTACAGTGTAGCGACTGCACCCTTGCTACTTCATCACACTAGAGGAAAAAAATCCACTTGAAATCCGGTTTCTGCCTCCTGCAGAATTCTGGGGTTTGTAGTTTAGGGAGGAGTCTTTAACAGCATCAGTAAACTATAAACTCTAGAGTTCTGCAGGAGGCAGAAACCGGATTTTAAGTTGATTTTTTTCTCTAGTGGATGAGGAGCCCTTCCACACAGCCCTGTACCCCAGAAAATCAAGGCAGAAAATCCCACAATATCTGTTTTGACTTGGTTATCCGAGTCCATGCTTAGATAGTGTGGGATTGTCTGCCTTGATATTCTGGATATAGGGCTGTGCTCCTACTTTTTGAAAGCTTTTCCTTCCCCAAACTGGGATTTCCCGTGTACTTCTTGATTTAGATGAGGAGGCAGTTCCTGGGACTTTCCTAACTGGCAGGAGCGGGCACAGCTGTTTGGATGGGAGGGAAGGCGAGGAGGCGCTCACCTGGCTCTTGCTCTGGCTGATCCCCGGTGGTGGTGGTGCTGCTGCTGCCGCCGCCCAGACTGTCCTGGCTGCAGCCTCGAGGGAGGGGTTGTTTTGTTCTCTCCTCGGGAGAAGGCGGTCCCCGAGCAACACCCAGCCGCCCGAAGCCAGGGAGGGACGGCCCCGCTTTCTGGCGCCTTCCCCCGCGGCCTCCGCCGCACAAAGGGGCTGATGTCATGCTTCCTGAGAAAGCCAGCCCGGAGGAGCGGGCAGAAAGGGGGGCATTGTATCCCCTAAGAGCTGCTCTGGCCCTGGCTGGCTGATCTAGGGCCAGCCCCAGAAGCCTGAGCCTCCAGGCATGGGCAAACTTCGGCCCTTCAGGTGCTTTGGATTTCAACTCCGACCATTCCTAACAGCCTGCTCATCTTTAAATCTCTGTCCACCATCATTCCATTTTTCGTTCTTGAGTTGGGGGTATAATAACTGCTTTGGGAGATGGTGGGCAATGTGGAGAGCCCAGCGGAGTTGATGGTGGAGGATCATCGCTTCAATGCTGGTGGTCTGTCCTTCTTCCAGTGTGCTGATATTTCTCCACCTGTCTTCCCAAGAGATTTGCAGGATTTTTCAGAGGCAATGCAAATGGAATTGTTCCAGGAGTTGAGGGTGACATCTGTAGGCAGTCCACGTTCCGCAGGCATATAACAGGCTTGGGAGGACACACATTTTAGACCTGCATCATTTCACAACACAGACATTTTATTTTGCTTGTAAACCCAAAGTTAAGTGATACCAGGCCAGCACATACATAAATTGTAATAACAAAATGTTTGAGGACCCAACATCTGATGAAAACATTTCATATATATATATATATATATATATATATATATATATATAGGCTTATGGTTTATTGCATGTTTCACGTAGACTTATAGGTTTCTGTTATGTTTGCATGACACACGTACATACTGCATCCAACACACTAATGCATAGCTTCTGAACCTGGGGGTTGGGACCCTGGGGGGTCACAAGGGAGGTGTCAGAGGTGTTTCCAAAGGTCATCAAAAAACACAGTATTTTCTATTGGTCATGGAGTTCTGTGTGGGAAGTTTGTCATTGGTGGCGTTCAGGATGCTCTTTGATTGTAGGCGAACTATAAATCCCAGCTACTACACCTCCCAAATGTCAGGGTCTATTTTCCCGCAACTCTGCCAGTGTTCACATTTGGGCATATTGAGTATTTGTGCCAAGTTTGGTCCAGATCCATCATTGTTTGAGTCCGCAGTGCTCTCTGGATGTAGGTGAACTACAACTCTAAAACTCATGGTCAATGCCCACCAAACCCTCCCAGTATTTTCTGTTGGTCATGGGAGTTCTGTGTGCCAAGTTTGGTTCAATTCCATCATTGGTGGAGTTCAGAATGCTCTTTGATTGTAGGTGAACTATAAATCCTAGTACCTATAACTCCAAAATGTCCAGGCCAATTCCCCTCAAAACCCACCAGTATTCAAATTTGGGCGTATCAGATATGCATACCAAGTTTGGTCCATATACATCATTGTTTGTGTTCACAGTGCATAACTACAACTCCCAAATGACAAAGTCCAGTGAATGAAAATACGTCATGCATATCAGATATTTACATTACGATTCATACAGTAGCAAAATTACAGTTATAAAATAGTAATGAAAATAATTTTATGGTTGGGGGTGACCATAACATGAGAAACTGCATTAAGGGGTCACAGCATTAGGAAGGTTGAGAAACACTACACTATAATGTGTCCCAACACAAGTTTGGAAAACTCTAGGTTAGTCTCCTGGTAAGAGCTACAGACACATATATGAATTGTAATATCAAAAGATAAAATGTATTTCATGAAAACCTTTATATTTTTTAAGACATATAGGATTTATTGTTTATTTCACAGAAACATAGAGGTTTTCCTTTACCTTTGCATGGTACACTTACTACACATAGCAGAAGACAGTAATATGTCCTGATTCACATTTTGGAAAGTGCTGATCTGCACAATAGTTTAACCTTCCACTTCTGTTCCGGAAGCAAGATTGATGAAAAATGTCTAACTTTAGGGTTCATCTATGCTGTAGGACACCCTGGTGGTGCAACAGGTTAAACTGCTGAGCTGCTGAACTTGCTGACCAAAAGGTTGGCGGTTCGAATCCGGGAAGCAGGGTGAACTCCTGCGGTTAATCCCAGCTTCTGCCAACCTAGTAGTTCAAAAACATACAAATGTGAATAGATCAATAGGTACCGCTTCTGTGGGAAAATAACAGTGCTCCATTCATCATAGTGGCCACATGACCTTGGAGGTGTCTACGGACATGTCATCTCTTTGGCTTAGAAATGGAGATGAGCACCACCCCCCAGAATTGGACATGACTGGGCTTAATGTCAGAGAAAATATTTACCTTTACTGTAGATCAGTAGTTCCCAAGCTTTTTAGACCAGGGACCACTTGACCAGGGAACATTAACCAGGGATCACTCTCCAATATTAGTACCAAAAGGGTTATGAATCAATTTTTAATCAACTTTAGATTTGGTTTGGTTCTTTGGGGTGCTGATTCAGAAAATTGCATTGGATAAACCACATCAGCTCTCTAATACAGAACATATGCCATGTAGTAGTCGCCATCTGCTAGTCCACAGCAAACCATATTTAATAATCTAGAGCAGATGTGATAATAGTAATCTTTGATGGGTAGTTAGCTTCTCCCCTCCCATTGCCTCGACACTATAAGAGGGTTTCATGAGACCAGTCACTCTCGTTGCTGCGTGGTTTCGAAGCAACAGCATAGTAATGGTGATGCCGCAGACTATATTTTCATTCTTGGGGACCACTGGTGGTCCACAGGCCGGGAACCACTGCTGTAGAATGAATGCAGTGTGACACTCCTTTAATTGTTATGGCTCAGTTATGTTACACACTGGCTACACACTGCAGCCAACACACTAATGTGTCCCAACACAGTTTGGAAAGCTCTGGGTTAAACCATCACGTTGTAAGAGATACGGAAATATATATGGATTGTAATATTGAAATGATTTTTTGCTTGCTTGATGAAAAAGTCTAACTTTAGGGTACATCTACACTGTAGAATGAATGCAGTGTGACACCCCTTTAACTGTCATGGCTCAGTACTATGGAATCATGGAGTTTGGTGAGGAACCAGCATCCTTTGGGAGGCTAAAGGCCTTGTAAAGCTACAGCTCCTATGATCTTGCAATTGGACATAACAGTCCCTTGAAATCTAAAATTAAAAAAAACCCTTGGGTCCAAAACTATTGTTTCTCCCAATTTGAGCAGCACAGCCGAATCAATGGTAATGGACTGAATCAAAACATGAAGATTTCTTCTCTAGTTGAGATTAATATTAGGTTTATCAGAGACTGGTGCTTTCCTAAAAAATATTTGTAAATCCAACGTGCTTCAGAAAGTATTAGCAGTGGGCCCAAAACCAGTTAGTCTTAAGTCTGTTAAGCAGAGAGGAATATCGTTTGGCATAGGATGCGACTTTGGCATAGGATGCGACTCTGGAGGTTGGCATGAGGAACACAAAAATGTGTGTTATCATTCCCCAATAAGTGCTACAAGCCTTTGTGTTGACAATCATCTTTGCATTCAAATGTCTTATATAGGATAAAGTTTTAATCATATGATAAAGCAATTTTCCTGCTTCTTGGCAGGGGATTGTACTGGATGGCACATGAGGTCTCTTCCACCTCTTTGATTCTATTATTCTAAGCTAATTCCACACGATTTCAGGATTAATAATATTATTTCATAGTATAGTTTCATAATTTTAATATCAGGTGAGTATTAATAGTTTGTGATGCTTACATCAGTGAACTGGGCCCCCTGATGGTGCAGAGGGTTAAACTACCGAGCTGCTGAACTTGCTAACCGAAAGGTTGGTGGTTCAAATCCCAGGAGGGGGTGAGCTCCCGCTGTTAGCCCCAGCTTCTGCCAACCTAGCAGTTCGAAAGCATGCAAATGTGAGTAAATCAATAGGTACCACTCTGGTGGGAAGGTAACTGTGCTCCATGCAGTCATGCTGGCCACGTGACCTTGGAGGTGTCTACGGACAACTCTTCAGCTTAGGAATGGAGATGAGCACCCTTGAGTCGGACATGACTAGACTTAATGTCAGGGGAAACTTTTACCTTTACTACATCAGTGAAATTGCTGGCAGCAGTTATCATAACCACCTCTGACAAATGCCTCTGGTGCCACTGTTCCTTTTTTCTAGGGATGTATCTACACTGTAGAATTAATGCAATTTGATGCCACTTTAACGGTCATGGCTCAATGCTAGGGAATCCTGGGATTTGTAATTTGGTGAGTGCCAGCACTTTTTGGCAGAGAAGGCTAAAATCTTGCAAAAATACTGCTCCCAAAATTCCATAATGTTGAGCCATGGCAGTTAAAGTGATGTCAAAATAAATTAATTCCACACTGTAGATGTATCCTAAAGTCGCAAAGCTAATTCTGTGTATCAATAGGAAAGATATATAGACAGTAGGTTCACATATTACACGAGGGATCTATGTAATATGATTTTCATGTCTAATCTGAACTCGTATTTTGGTATCCTGAAATGAGCAATGTCTTGGAATTCTTACCAAAGCATATTGTATAACCATGCAGGAGGGCCTAGCAAAAGAATCATAGAATCATAGAGTTGGAAGAGATCTCATGGGCCATCCAGTCCAACCCCCTGCCAAGAAGCAGGAAATTGCATTCAAACCACCCCTGACAAATGGCCATCCAGCCTCTGTTTAAAAGCTTTCAAAGAAGGAGCCTCCACCACACTCCGGGGCAGAGTGTTCCACTGCTGAACGGCTCCCACAGTCAGGATGTTCTTCCTAATGTTCAGATGGAATCTCCTTTCTTGTAGCTTGAAGCCATTGTTCCGCGTCCTAGTCTCCAGGGAAACAGAAAACAAGCTTGCTCCCTCCTCCCTGTGACTTCCTCTCACATATTTATACATGGCTATCATATCTCCTCCCTTCTCTTCTTCAGGCTAAATATGCCCAGCTCTTTAA